GAGCACAGTTTTCAAATGAAACTTACCGAACGTCCTATTGTTTACAAAGCAAGAATGTAATATGGAAATCTCTTATTATTTTGAATAAAGTCTGGATTTTGTTCAATTTTATTAATTTATTTTAATGAAAATGCATTCCTATATTTTAGATCTTTAAAGTTTTAAAAATGTATATAAAAGGATTTTAAATTTTTTTTGCAATCTATTTCATCGACTAACTACATAAACGCTGTTGGATAACAATATCGTATCCGAATCGAACGTTCAACTCGAATGTTCTGAATAGCTCGGAAAGCGTCATTCGATTCGAGAACGACATACAATCGAATGATTTGGTTAAAATATCGAAGAGTTCTGAATCGGGGTCCAGTTACATTATGCATAGTATTATAGTCCATTTCGCACAGGATGGGTATTGTGACATTTTATATTTTTACTTTGCATGCATACTATTTTTTAACCGACTTCAAAAAAGGAGGAGGTTCTCAATTCGACTGTATGTTTTTTTTTCTTTTTTTTTGTATGTATGTTACGCGATAACTCCGGTATTTGTGAACCGATTTTCATGATTCTTTTTTTGTTGGAAAGGGGGTACTTCCATAGTGGTTTCATTTCATTTTGAAGAAAATCATCCACCTCGAAGGGTGGCTGTTCATGCATGAAGATTCATTTTTATAAATAGCGCCTAACTTTAATTTAGAAGCAATTACTTTAATGGTTGATTTTGCTATTTCTCCAATTCAAGGCGTTTCTCTCTCAATATACTTTGAGTAGTGAGAACCGATTTTTATTATCTCCAGTGTCAAGTCCTGTATAGTGGCGAACTAGGGGATATTTCAATAAAACTTAGCAAATAGACGTAATTCCACGTACTTTTGAGGTCGGTTTTTTTTAGTACTCTGTACTAAGATTATAACTAATCTCTCAACCAGGTTACGAAAAGAAATAATAAATTTGGTATAATATATCAAAAATAAATAATATTGGTAGCAGTTATAATTTTATGTAAAAAAATCATCATCAGCTTCCACGCATCCACTGCTGGACATAAGAGAGCACGCCAACTTTCCCGGTCTTGCGCCGCCCGCATCCAGCCACTGCCAGCCAGCAGTGTCCCACACTACGTTTTCCTTGACGTGGTCGCCATTCCAGAACAAGTCGGCTCCATAGGCGATCAACCCTGCTGCAGACATGCCCGGCACACTGCCACTTAAGCTTACTGAGTTTCGGACGGTCACTTTAGTTCTCTGACGTATGACCTCGTTAGGGATTCGGTCCATCAGAGAAACCCCAAGCATAGTTCGCTCCATCTCACGCTGAGCGAACTTGAATTTGTGGACGTGGCCTGTTGTTAATGTTGGAATGACATAACTGGTAGAACGCACTGGTTAAATGTCTTAGGTTTTAGGCTTTATGGGATTGACGACCTGAAGATGTGGCTAAGCTTCCCAAACGCCGCTCAGCCCAAACGAATTCTCCTGTCGGCTTCCTGCTCAAAGTTGTGCTTGCCAAGCTGAAGATTTTGGCTAAGGTAGACATAATTGTGCACAACCTCAAGAGTAGCCCCATCTACAGGTCCCGGGGTCACATGTGCGTTGGACATAACTTTCGTTTTGTCCAGGTTCATCTTGAGACCTATCGCTTTGAAGAATCGTTTAAGCAGTTCAGCATCTCGCCGAGCTCCTGCAGCGACTCTGCCATAATAACAATATCATCTACAAATCGAAGGTGTGAGATGTACTGTTTCTGCCGCCAAGCAGTAATGTCAGCATTACTGTGTTCCGGTTTTGAAGGGTAAGGGTGCTGGTGAAATTACAGGGACATGGGACTCGTCAACTTATGTCTCAGGGTGACGGGCGCAGTGGCAGCGCCCCTCAGATCTTTGCGATTTAAAACTTTGAGTGGCACTGCAACTGTTATCGACAGGCGTGTAGCTTACCATCACCGGCACGACTCGTCCCGTCACTTCGTATTATAAAAAAAAGATACAGAATGAAATGACAGAAATAAAAATAAATTACGCCAAGTACTTGATGCGTAAAACGGAATATTTATTCATAGAGATTTATACCGTAGAATCGATACATCGAATCGGTTATTGTGTATCTCGCGTCAATACGTGTGCAAATTATATTACAATGGCCTTATTTGCGGGCGTTTTCTTTTGTTTTGAGTTTTCCATGATGTTTTTAATAATAACGCACACACTCAACATAGTTCCGCACTAGGGAAACCCTGGGTCGCGGGGGCACACATAGACACTAATTACACCCAAACTCACGAAAGAAATAAATATAGGCCATACAAATATTTCTCCCAGCCCGGGAA